TCTCTCTCTCTCTCTCTCTCTCTCTCTCTCCTCATTTCCCCTTTTCACCCACCACTAGGAGCGGATCAGCATCGATGTTGAACCTCTGCAGCATCTTAGAATCGCGGTTGGTGTTGTTGGCGTCAGTAGAGGAGGCGTCGGTCGTCGACCTTGTGATCAATCGTTGCCATCGATCTCTTAGTTGCTCCGCCGCCTCGTTTCTGTCATAGATCTCGCTGTCGACCTCTTAGTTCGATCTCGCCGTCGACCTTTTAGTTCGATCCTACCGTTGTCGACCTCTTTTTTCTCGTTGCGATTGCATGAGTTTAGGATTGATCGGATGTCTGTTCGCTAAAGGAGCTGCCTTTTTATTTAATTAGGATTTTTGAGTTTGTTTTAAGGATTTGGATGTAATAGTTCTTAGTGTTTTGATGCTCTTTTTCAATCGAAATTGCATTAGTTTGGTTGGATGAAGGTTTGTCTGCTGAAAGAGCTGCCTTTTTTTAGGTTTTTTGAGTTTTGGAGAAATATGTGCTTAGGATTTAGGTGAAATGTGAGAACAACTAATCTAATTTGCCCCATTTTCTTGTCATGGGAAGTTGTAGAGGAAAGATGTCTCCTCTTTGTGGGTTTTCAGTGTGTTTGAGTGATTTTTTTTGCGATTGATTCTCAGGATTTTGGTAAAATATGGAAAACATTTAGCTGACCATTTGTTGAGAATTCTTATGAAGCCCTAAATCATCAAGCTCTATTCTTTAGTGATAAATTGCATTGCTAGATGATATAGAATGCTTAACAGACAATTTCATGGAGGATTGGGACAATCACAAGCTAAATGCGTATATATACATATTCTTCAGTGATAAATTGCACATGTTATACTTACTGAATAATGTGCTATACTTACTGGTTAACGTACTATACTTACAAGATGACATGCTATACTTACTGAATAACGTGTTATACTTACATATTAACGTGCTATACTTACTGGTTAACGTGCTATACTTACAAGTTAATGTGTTATACTTACATGATAATGTGCTATACTTACATGTTAACGTGCTATACTTTCTGAATAACATGCTATACTTACATGATAATGTGCTATACTTACTGAATAATGTGCTATACTTGCAGGTTAACTTGCTATACTTACATGATAATGTGCTATACTTACAGGTTAACGTGCTATACTTACATGATAACGTGCTATACTTACAGGTTAACGTGCTATACTTACATGATAACATGTTATACTTATAGATTAACATGTTATACTTCCTGAATAACATGCTATACTTACATGATAACGTGCTATACGTACTGAATAATATGCTATACTTACAGGTTAACGTGCTATACTTACAGGTTAATGTGCTATACTTACATGATAATATGTTATACTTACATGATAATGTGCTATACTTACACGATAACGTGCTATACTTATAGGTTAACGTGCTATACTTCCTAAATAACGTGCTATACTTATATGATAATGTGCTATACTTACTGAATAACGTGCTATACTTGCTATACTTGCTATACTTACATGTTAACGTGCTATACATACAGGTTAACGTGTTATACTTATAGTGTATCATGCTATACTTGTAGTATATCATGCTAAACTATTACACATAATTCCCTTTGATGAATCACATGCATCGTTATTGTTTTGAGAGCAATTTGACATTTTACTTATCTAAAACTTTATGCAAGTTGAATCCAGCTGTATCTCAAATTCTTTAAAAGGCTCATTCTTATCACTTATCACATTCAATTACACTTTGAATATTTTCATTTAGCACAGTTCACCTAAAAAAATTTGAGCAACATACAGCTAGAAAATACACGACACATCCAAGCAACACAATATCATACTAATTCAAAGCAATAGGATCCAACCACAAAATAGAGTGAATCTCTGAGTTTCCAAATAATAGATCAAGAAACACTTCATTCAAGCTTCCATACAAATCACCATAACAGATGCATCCTATAATATGCTCATAAAGAAACACAAGCCAAAGGTAGCAAAGGAAATGGCTTCTCTCTTCTTCTTTTTATCAGGCAGGTGTAGGTTTGTAGTCGATGACGATGACTTTCTCCAGTGCAGGGAGGAAGTTGTTCAAATATTCCATGTGCACTCGATGTGATACATACTCTGCAATCCCTTCAATGCTTTCAAATGTTGATTCGAAGACATGAGTGAAACTTTGATGCCTGTTCTGTATGCTCACATCCTTTCCCATGTGTTCAGAAACAAAGGGTAATATTACTATATAAACTGAATAGGGCAAATTTTGTTATAAAATTCTGCCAATTGCCTTTAGAATATAAGAGTCGGCAAACACAAATAACAGAAGAAAATATGCATCCTTGTGTATCTGACAACAGATAGTGTAAGGAAAGCTATTCTCCCAACTATTGATGGTTTTGGGGCATTTCGACATGTAATTTACATCCATTCCAAGCCACTCTTAAGTTTGAAATAATCATCATTCCAATCTTGAAAATATAGAGTAGTTGTTAAAAGCTTACTAGTAAAATAAAAATCTAAATTCAAAATGCTCAAAACCCCCGTCCCCAAATCTACTCCCTTTTCCCCCGATAGAGCCAACCAAATCCTCACAATCGATGGCCGACGGGGATGACCCTATCGCCGGAGGGGCGCCTCCCTCCCATCCACCGGCCACAACAACACCAAACGCCGTGTCGCCTACTTCTACGAGCCCTCGATCGG